AGGGCAAAAGTTCGGTACGCAGGGCATCCTTGTAAGCTTGTCTGAGCGAGACAAGAGATAACTTCTAAGTTGACAATCTAGGGAGGGCCTTGGGACATCTCCCGGTAAAGTTCAAGGAAATACGACACAGTACCAAAGCATGATCAGAGTCCACGCAGGTATTCCAGCACGAGCGACAATTCAGGATGGAACCACGCCACCTGTAAATTATGGGAACGTGATCTGTTGTGGTCCATTGCTCGCCAGCTATAGAAGAACGCCAAATAACACATCGGAGTCCTGTGTGCCTAAGGTGGTGCGGATAAGAAGCAGCCGGTGGTCCGCGCACACATGTGACAGACGCTCGCGGTCGTACGTCTGTTCGGAGTTAAGCCCATAAGCTTCTGAGGTGGTCAGACAACCTATGTGCATATTCATATCCCCTGCAACAACAGCGATAACTGAACTGGTAAAACTGCGTAACAGCGTGTTCTGTTTGTGGTAGAATGTATCCTTGGCACCATAAGAACTGCAGACGGTGGGGGCACAAGCGGAAACCGCAAACAAATAATGTCTAGTGGTACTTCGTCAAACGGACTGCACACAGACGGTTGCTTACGGGAATCCAATCAATGAAGGATAATTTAGCCTTGGAGCAGAGAACAACGCCCACTCCAGCTTGATCAGTGAGTGCTGCATCAAGGTCTCCGGACGCTTGCAACCAATAGCGAGAGGACGAACCGGGTGCAGTTAATTCGGACACGTAACACACGTCGACACTAAAAATGTCCAAGGTAAGTGCGAGTGCAGACTGTTAACTTATTTGTATTAGAGTGCGACCGCTGAAGGTTGAACGTTGCGGGAAGGTAGCTGCAGATGGTTTGACTCCAGTGGCATTACGGCTGGTGTCAATCAAGCTGGGAATTATAGAAGGTCAATAATGGGGGTTGGCAGGAGGGAAGGAAAAACAGGTGCAAAAGAAAGAAAGGAGGCACCAGCAATAACATGTTTTCGCTTATATGCCCTGTTGTACGCAGCAGATAAGGTGAGTCTTGATAATCTGCGAGACGGCCGATGTAGGATGTGGCTAAAGTTTGAAGTAGCCATGGTTGTGCGTGGGCTGAGATACTGCCAGGGCGCCGAGACCTAGGGTCCTCAACTGAAACCTTTGGCTCAAAAGCCTGTCCGCAAACAGCGTGGAGGCGGCAATGGTTTAGTTCTATAAAAATGGACGCCATCGCATTTCCAACCCCGAATCTGGAGCATCAGGAGTGGGAGTTCATCTGCCTCTCTCTATTGACCAGCCTGGTAGGAGTAGCTCTATAGGGGCCTGAGAACACCCGGTATAGATCAATGGGACAGAGGTAAAAGAAACCGTCGCACCACGCTAAGCTTTAGTCCCGTTGCGACGGTTCACGCAAAAGGGTACTCTGTGACAAGTATCGACTAGTAATGAGCTAGGTAAAACATGGTTGGTCACCAAGTGACTGCAAGCATTAGGACGTGGTCAGAATTCCAACCCGTGCTGATAATAAAGAGGTGACTTGAATACTGGATATACGACGCATGTGACAAAGTAGAAAGCTTCTCTTTGGTTGGTCCACGGCTTCGGTTTCGACCGGTACCAGCGGTAGTGAGACAATTACGGTCCGAACTAACTGAGGAGGTAGTGTCCCCATAAAACACATAAGATCACTTAATCATTCCTACCGAGAGTGATCACATCAATGTAAGTGGCTCTGTTAGTCATACGAGAAATAACACAGTGACACAACTCAGCACTAAGCGTAGCCTGATCGTTTACCCCGATAAAGAGTTGCAGACGCAACGATTGGGCTTCGCAATTCACTGAGGTCCAACACAACGAGTCGCTTTGGGACAGCATACAGGGAGTGCGAAATAAGTGACACTGATCATAGTTCTGAGAACGTCTCACAGGCCAGTTCACAGTTCCGCTAACTGCTCCAACCTTGTCAGATGAGTCACTGTGGGCTGTCACCTTTAAAGCAGCACAGTAAAGTATAACTGTTACCGTCTGAAAGTCGATATGCCAGGAGACACATCGGGGATTAGGATATTTTCCCCTGTTCAAGTACAACGGCCACTGTAGCGGAAGACCAGCGGGGGTTTGAGAGAGCGAAATCCAGCGGCAATAACATTATTGGAAGAAACGAATCCAATACAAATATATCACACCAATTGGGATGAAACCGGTATTGATACAGCTAAACTTCTGCAACTGAGCAGCGAGAGGCGGTGCAATCCCACAGTCAAGGTCAAAACTGAAAGAGGGTGCATTGTTAGGATGGTAACATGTAAATCAGACCGAGGTGACGTCTACACATTATGTAAAATAGCGAAAAAGAGCAACGTATCGACCAAACAATACTAATTAAATTATTTCGCGAATTATCTTCATCCATTGAAAGCCATCAGCAGTACGCCGGTGCCCCATACCGAATTCGCTGCCACGCGACCAGCATCAATCGCGCAAGGGTTGGTTGTACCACAGTCACCTGCACCTACGGGGGGATTCGAACCGGCAAGGCAAACGCACAGTCGTATCGACCATCGGTCGACATCTGCTGTTGCTATAAAGTGTGTGGAATGTACATGGTGCGTGCAAAGACCAGTAACAAGTAATGCCATTGGTGAAAAGCAAGGAAGTCTAAAGACATTTCCCACGTTTGTACACTAGCTGAAGGAATGACATTTCAACAGTTTGTTCCAAAAAAATCTTAATTAAATTATCGGGTGAAGATAAGATAGATACCTTAATATGAGTGCATAACACCCCGTATCTTGTTGTGATAAGTCAAGTAATGCTAGTTGATGGAATTGATGCCTGCGATATACTTCAAATTATGCATGACTAAGATGGTACGACTCGATGTGTGGCAACAGTACAGTGTTCTTTTGCACTTGTCGTAAAAATTTACTTTACGTGCTTTACTACGGCTGGCTCCTGCGACAGGATGAGCCGGCTTCATGAATGTCGCGGATTGCAGTTGCTGAAGCGCGGCGGTCAGTAGCAAGATCCACGCAGATACTGATCCAATGATTTCTCAAGTGACGAGCACCATGCACAACATGGAGTCCCAGAAGATCGACACCCGATATCACTGCAGCGAGCCACGTTTCAGTTGTCCACCACGACGATAACACCAACCCTGGCAAAGCGATAGCAAAACCACGGCCCTAATGAAGTCAGTGTCTGGTCTGCGGAGGACGTGATCGAGCCACTGAAGTCTGCGGCGTTGGATGAGCGTAACAGCGCTTACGAACTTCGTTATTGGTGATACGCTCATGCCACTGTGTTTTCAAGGTAAGCCTTAGACAGCAATGGTCAAAAACTTCTAGCTTCCGGGTGTCTTCGAATCGCAGCGGTCATGTTTCGTAACCATAGAATAAAACGGCACGAATGGTTGCTGAGAATACTCGGATTTTCGTTCGCAGACTAATTTCCGTTCTTCGGCACAATGTGTTTCACAGTTGTAAGAAGGCTGTTCTAACGCTGTCAATACGATTCCGGATTTCGGATGTATCCTGACCAATGGGGTGGATAGTGAATCCAAGATACTTGAACTCTGGAACAGATTCGATGAGTTATCCATGTAAGGAGAGCGACGGGGCAGACTGGGTGGCTAACGAGGAGAACTATTTCGCTGATGTTAATTTCGAGGCCGATCATAGAGGCTGATTGGTCGTCCCGATTTAGCATTGACTGTAGCGACATAGCCTCTTCCGCAAGGATAGCGATATCGTCAGCAAATGCTAGAGATGATAGCCAGAAGTCACGACTAACTTGAACACCACGATAGCCCTCAAGGGCATAATGTATAACCCAGTCGATTGCGAAGTCGCATAGCACTGGAGAAAGTGGGCAATCCAGCCGGACTCCAGTATTTGTGTCAAATGCCTTTGTTTCTTTTTCATATGCACGAATCTGGGCCTTCGTGCAACGATAGCGTGATCTCATCAAGTTAACGAGTTTAACCAGCCCGACATCAGCAAGTAAGATTCTCCCGAGTGTTTCACGGTCAACTTAGTTAAAGGTAGCTCGAAAATTAGAGAAACAAACAAACGTGGGCTGCTGGGACCGGTAGAAGTGTTCGAGCACCCGACGTAGAGAAAATGGTAAGAACGGAAGATTCTGGCGAGTGAACAGCTTCCAACATGAGAGATATGTGTGCGCATGGTTGCACGTAAAGTAACAAATGGTATGATGATCAGGTCGAGTACAGAAAAGGAGCAAGTACATAGGAAACCTGAGTCATCGTCGATCAAGACAAAATACAGCAAAACCTCCGAAGTTGACCAACTCTCTAAGTTGATCGTTTTGTTTTTCCTTGATTGAACGTTCACCATGTAAACCTTATGGTTTCAGACATGTGTATGTTAACCACTTAAGTTCAGTCCCTTGAGTGTTTTACTGCATGGGGATCTCGGCAATTAGAGGGAAAAGTAGCGCATTAAATTGCTGATTACATACTAAACACAAGCCAAATGTGCTTGCACACCAGACTTCATAAGGAAAACACTTTCTTAGTGAACTTTCAGTCGGTAAATTGGTAAAATGTCGTCGGTTGAAAAGAAATATTCACCGGGACTAGCAAAGGTGGCCAAAGAATTTGTCTTCTTGCACATGTTAAGTTTCAGCCGCGGAATCATCTAAGCCTCGATATCCTGAAGCAGGCGGGGATTTCTCTGCCTGTAAATTAGCACGTGGGATTTGGCAAGCAGTGTAATCAAGTAGGTGGCGAGCAATGAAGCTTGCCGAAAATTAGTAAAAAAAAATAGGATAACAGTATTGGAGAGGATAAGAGTCACCTGCGCACCGTAACCGAGCGACAGTAAAACAGCACACAAATAGAACCATGATAATGTCTCAAGCTAAGCAAATTCAGAAACAAACATATAGTACAGATGCGACTGCTGAGCGTAGACAGGGAAGATCTAAGGGGCTTTTAGAAAAATGTCACGGAAAACCTCCTACAAATTCACTGTAGGTACAAACCCACCTTTCGGGATTTGGTCTTGTATTCAACCGCTTTGTGTGTGGCCTGTTTGGCAACTTCTACGTGATCTCTAGTGGCATTCACATTGTGCTGTATAGTATCGATCAGGTCACCCTACAATAAACAGTAATAGAGACAGATGAGGATATTTGAATAATTATAAGAACATTAATATTTGCAACACAAACTTATGTGGACAAGAAAGTGAATCAGGGCAGGTTTCTGAAGACCAAGTTCCGCGGAGCAGCAACAAAAGCCGGGCTATTGTGGGAAGAAGCATAATGAAAAGAACAAAATAATTTATGGCTGGGACAGTATGTGGGTAATCAGGAACAAATTCTGGTAAAAACGTCAGGGGATCACAGTAAATAAGAAGAACAAATACTGATCCTGTGTTCAAAGCAGGTCCTGCAAGACCAATGGGAAATCATGGAAAACGGCCGAAGGATTTAATTGAAAACATATTGTCGACGACAGCATACATGCCGAGGTAAGCAGATGGCAATCGGTGTTTGATAGCTTATCAAAATGTGTATAACAAATACGATAAAAATTAGTGCGTGAATAATAAAACATCGTAAAGGTGGTTCATGTAAACGTTAATTTACTAAGGAAGTATAACAAAGTTTACTCACGCTACTTGACCTGCAAGTGTCCGTGACTGTGTGCAAACGATCAGTAGGTGAGGATAATGAGGTTAGTCTCTGAAATCAACAAGCGACAGTGAATATGCCGCGCTGCCGCTTGCCGAAGAGGGCAACGTTATGGTTGCCGGATGTCAGATGGCGCAAGGCTCGAAAGGGGAGGCGAAAGTTGACTTCGCAGAAAAAATGAAGCTACTAACGACTAGCCTTCCAGGCTGATATCCATGCGAACCACGCTGCGCTAAGCTTGAGACTTTGGGCTCATAGTAGGCACCAGTGGTGTGCCTGCAGTCATGCCTTAGTCGAACCGCCAGTTAAAAGTGAGTCTCACAGTTATCTGTAAGGCAAGATTGATTACGAAGCGAAAAAGTGAAATCCGCGAGGAAGCTGACTGGCCGAAGCTACATATCTTCGCACGATAGCTGATTGTTTGTGGCTATATGTTATTGACAAGGTGTACGTGTCCTGACCCTGAATGTTTGCTTGGGTCACTTTGGCTTTATACCAAGTCCCCATTCTTCAGGTCATTGTGGTTATACGGCAGTGAAGCTGACTGATGTACTGCCGTTGATGGTTGGAGTGTAACATTCGTGAAAAGCAAAAGAAGTACACTCTGGATGAGCGCGAACTGGCTGCGATTTTGTCGTGGCGTCAATAGATGTTAACTCCATTTTTTTCTATGGGGTGCACACAAGTTAAGCGGCATGTGAATGGAGACGTCAGTTGTGCGGCGAAACTGCCCCATGCTGAGACTGATGTTGCATTCTTGATGCTTCTTCATCGCAGTTGGGCTAAACCAACTTACACTTGGTCTTTTTAAGCTGGATAAATTTCATTCCACTTTAATTGGTTTGTTCTGCCTACCTGAATAATCTTCCATTAACTTGCACACGTTGCTTACGCTAATTGCGCTTATCTTCGTTAACTTTATTGCGTTTGTAGCATTTTTCGAGTAACTTGTGGACATTTTGTACTTGTCGCTTATTCGTTGATAACCAACTTACTTCATATGCTAATTAAGGGAAGATTTATGTTTGCATAGCCGTATAGTTTAACAGATCTACTTTTTGATAATGTTATTTCAAGTGATTGGCTGTTGCTTGATATCCCCGGTGTGGCTGCGCTTGATGTGCATGTTGACAAGGTGCCTACCTGTCTATTACCCACTACCTCGTCCATACTGGCTCCAGGAGACAGTTGGTCGTTGCTGGAGGGGACGGGGTGCACGGTCCTTGTGGCCGTGTTAGACTCGAAGAGTGGTTCCATGCACTCCGAGTGGAGTGGACCACGGTCCAAACTCCGTCTTATGTGCAGTTGATTTCTCAAAGATCGTGTGCTTGTGTTTGCCTGTGAAGGAGTATGGGCCAGCTCCGTTGATGAAACATAGCTTCCATCCACATGCCTTCCGCTCTTATTCCTTCGGGTTTACACTGGATATGGAGCTGGATATTGGAGCTGTGGGCGGTGCAGCGCAAGCCACCCATGGTCCCTCTGTGTCTGTTCCTGTGGAGGCCACAGTGACAGGCAAATCCGAAACCGGATACCGCCAACCATGAGCGGCGAAAGCCATTCGTGGCTCTTGTGTGGACGCAGACGTCCTGTGGCTTATCACCGTCACAACGCAGGGAGATCTGGAGACAGATGCAGGAAACTACGTAGCGTAGTCGTCATTAGGAGATATGGATAGCGAAAGAAATAGCATACTGTGCGCAAACTCGGTTAGTGTTGCCGTTCGATGCATATGAACTAATGCCTCAATACTCGCAATGACAGACCAGGTGAAGCGAGGAAAAAGCGGCAACCTAACATGAAGGTAACGACAAGCCAGTGGTTTTGATCAGGACGGTAAATAATAGTGGGACCAGGAGTATTGATAGCGTGTGGGAATGAGAGTTTACTGCTTGCCTGGTGTGTGTTAGTGGCAATTAAGCAGTAGTTGTGTGTGAATCAGCGCCGCAAATCAACAGCCGTAGTGCAAAGCACGCTAGGATGATGATCATTGTTTTGTATCACGCCAGAAAATGGATGAAAAATGTCCAGCCGTTATAGGAGTGTCATTTAAATAACGCTATAGCCAAACAATAGAAAAGTAACGCCGATGGATTCCATATGCTACGATGAATGATATGTCAGAATGCAAGAAGCGCCTAATAATGCACTGCGCGAAGAGTTTGATCTAGAGATAAAGTACGCATTTTTGATGTCAATTTGTTTGGTATAAAAGAACCTTAGTTTTGGCCTGTTGTAACAAGCCTGCTTGTACCGAAAACATGAGGTGATGAGAGGTTGACATGCTGATGAGGGTCAACAATTCAGTTAAAAGCTATTGAAACCAAGTGGGTATGCGAATAGTTGTGTGTGACCTGATTTCGAAGTCCGGAACTATCTGATGAAGTCCAAAAGTTGGACTGGTATGTAGTATGTGAAGGTGAGTACAGGATAGTGTGCTCTATTAGGTGAGACAGGAATTTCGTAGATTTTGTTCGTGAAGTTGGAGATATAGCGAAGCCACTCAAGCTATAAGAATTCCCTACGAGAGAGAAGGTATACTTCGCTCCTTGCTGAGGTGACATATGGATGACAAAACCGAATGATGCTTTGCAGCTGAATGCCAAGAGAAAAATTTGGAGAGAAACTTGTCCGACATATGCGCAAATAAGGGTTGTTTCTGAAAGTAGTCTACACCAAATAGCAAGGGGTTTTATTGGGATAGTACCCCGCGAGCTGCCAACAAAAAGAAAACAAAAATACGGAGGTCGAGCGAATTTACGGGTGTACAGAGCCCCAAAATACAGAACAAGTTTGGTGGAAAATAACGAAAAACAAATAAAAGAAACCGAGCAATAGTGCAATCAATTTACTTTTATCTGTACTAGAAAAATGCAGACCAACAGAATGAGGACGTGACCGTTATTGTATGAAAATGGTCTGAATAGTTACCTGCGTTGAAACCAGGGTAGCCAGATCCTGAAACAATTCGTGCAATTCGCTAATACTTTTTTCCAATTTCAAGATATCCTCATGTCTGGCCTCGATGTCAGCAGCGTTTTGTCGAGCCTGTTGTGTGTCCATAAGGATCTGATAAAGAAGGAAGCAAGTTATCGTCAGGGAATCATTTAAAAAGGGCCGACAGGTAGACTCGCATCTGGGTGCCCGAAAGGTACAAAGGAAAAGAGTACGAACAAATCAACGGGCGAGGAAGCACGAAAGATTTTGCAACCTGGGGGGCAGTCAATAATTGCACAAACACAACAGCAAGTGGAAAAGGAAAAGTGAATATGCAAGGATAGAAAGTACAGGTGCACACTTGCATATTGAGCTACCGGATGATGTTAGTTTGACTGGGCATAAATGTTGAAACAGTGACTAACAGATAGCCCAAGCGTTCGAATTAAGGCAAGCAGTATAAGCAAGTTCATTCAGAATTGCCACCGTGATGAATAAAATCAGACCGGCGCATCCGATTTGTTGTGATCGTGTGGATAGATCTCAAAGAAAAACGAAATGACTCACTCCTTGTGTAAAAATTTGGGGGTTATCTGACTCAAGCATCTGTTCGATTTCTTCATCGGTTCGAGGACACTCAGCTGAGGAAAGCAGAGAAAAAAGCAAAATGAATAGTCCTAGTGTGCTAAGACGAGGCGGACACGGAAGCAATGACACAAAATGGGTGAAAACTCAAAAATGACGAGGACACTGATGACGCAAAAAAATTAAAACGAGTGGACACACACAGAGAAACAAAAGTGCTAGAGGTGAGGTGCTTAGCAAAACACTGCACTGGCGTGGTCGTGCACACAAGTTTCGTACGAGCGTAGAAAGAAGAAATATGAACATGTCACTGAAAAAACGCATCTCGAAAGAATAAATAGTCGCGAGAAGTAATAAATATGAGGACACCAAATAAATCGGAAAGCAGAGTCGCCAGAATTGTTTCAAAGCCCATCGCCTAAAGAGTTGGCAAGCTAATGCAGGAATACAACTGGGTGTCGACCGGTGGCCGAAGGGATTACATGTCTATCTTGTAATCCGGAGTTCATTGGTTCTAACCCGCGTAGGTGCTAGTGACCGCAAGGTATACGTAGTCCATGTGCACCCGATGTGGAGGGAAACAGGAAAAGGCATCCGCAGTACGCCGGCAATCCGAACCAACGCTTTGCTGCCACGCAACCAACCCCAGTCCCACGTGTGTATATGCTAAAACGATATGTTTGCGAGTCGTGATTCCACAAGTGATGTAATTCATCTATCCGCGCGGTATGTCGTCGAATTTCACTTGTAAAAGCAAAATTGGTGGTAAACCTTACGTGTTCCCCGCTCGTAACATCGCACTCCAAAACCAATCCCGTAGTTCCCAATTTCTATCTGTTTCGACTACGATCCCAGTGATATCATTGACTAAGGTTCACCTCAATGTGAATGGCGGTCTACAACAAAGATTGCGCGTCACAAACCAATCACACAACGAGCACTTCAAAATGACCCATCAATCGGTCTCGTATTTGTTTGCACCTGTCAGATGAAGATGGCAGCAGTGTAAGCACTTGAAACCGGGACGCAAAGACTATCAGCTGACGCGTTTAATTCAACTTCCGCTGAATCGCGGGTATCGCCTATCCCAACGGTTAATGGCACAAGGTGAGAGCACTCGAAGCGCGCGTTGTGTGGACAGATTGTGACACTCAATCTGCATCTGGACCACGATTTATGCTAAGGTGAATCTCGATCCAAAGTTCGAATTGGTGCCAAGAACAACTCACCCAACTGTTGCTTAAGCTGGATCAACAAAGATAAGCACAACTAAGTAGATGGGGAGATAATTTGTATTTGGGTTATGTTTCGGGAAAAGACGTCAGTAGGCCATGGAAGCGACTCCAAAATTTTGCATTTCCGAAGCAGAAATAGATGATAATTCGCTATTTGTACCAGCATCCCAGCAAAGTTTCGACCCGGTCGCCGAAGGGCAAAAAATAGGCTATCCCTCAGATGCTAAAAGAAACCACTCATCAAAAATTCCACCATGTCCCATAACTGCTCAAAAATAAAATGACTGTAGCAAAGGATGTATTGTTTTCGCGGTCGTCTTCAGAGGGCTTGCCACCTCCGAGGCACTGAATAGAGGATATCTAACCGCAGTGGATCAAAGATGTGCTGTTACCTGCTCACACCTCCTTGCGGAAACCACTGCGTCCGGGCTGAGTATTATATTCTATGTGAAATTAATCCCAGTACATCAAACGGGCGACAAAACGCCCGTGTAAAAGGAGAGTATAACAGGTGTCACTGTGAAGCAGTTGGCCCAAGGTGGGCAGCAAATTCTGATCAAGGATTCCTACAAAATCTTGCACACAACCACATTCGAAAGCGCCTGGAGGATGTTTCCTAACGAACACGGAAGCTATCTCGATCAGGCTAACGGAATATGAATTTAACAAGCCGAGAAAGTTCTTGCGGGTCATCATCTCGCAACGGCCGTAACGGTGCCTCAAATGTCAATCACATTCGTACACTGGTGGCGACTGAGTATGATCTTTGTCGGACAGCGCAAGTGTGTCTCGTCGTAGGATGTGCACGTCTGAGTTGACGACTTGAACACCATCCGAGACTTGGGACGTAGCAAACCAAATTCACCAACTGCAGCTCATGGTTAGTCAATGTAAGGTGCTGTTCAAACCTTCATAGTACGTTTAAACGTGAAATGGAAATTATTGAATAGAAATTCCTTCGCACAGTAAATCTGTGCGTTTCCATGGGGATAAGTTAGGAAGCTGCTGTATAATTCGACGAAACAACGCAAGACACTGTATTGAGATCGTAACAGTCGGTGACGCCAATGAAGACTTGAAATAAACCATTAAGTTAAGAGACCTGGTCTTATGCCGTGCGCAAATTGGGTATGGTAGATGCAGGAGGAGCACTCAGATATTTATTGCATTAAAACTGTGCGAAGGGAGCTCTCCTTTTATGGCTGAAACAGCGTGCGCTCGCGGTCTGGGAGATTAGGATAAGTTATTCTGAAAAATAGTGCTCTGTAAGTAAAGCTGCACGACATTGGGTTGTTGCGCACTCCGGTTCAGTTAAATAACTATTATGTGCACGGAAGACCACCTGACCTCATTGCATACGTCCGCAACGGTGTGATATGAAAATGTAATATCAGTGGAGGTTAAAGAGATAAGAAAGGATTGAAACAGGAGTTAAACTGCTAAAAAGAGGTTGAAAAAGAAGAATCACAGAAGCAAAGGACAAACAGATGGAAGCAAAGGGCCGAATGTAGAGGCGCTGATGATTCCGCAAAATCGCAATGTGTGAGCCAGATCTCGATCCTCGATCAATAAGGCAGAACCAGGCTGTGCAGAAAAGTACTCGGCTAGATGACACTCTCCATCATCACATCATCACTTGGCCAGACAGGTGCAACAGCAGCAGGCGATCCACGTCAGCCAGGGGAGGGGAATATTCAGTGAGGCACCACATGGTCTGCTACCGAACATCACCGCAATACCTTAACAGTGCCAAATTGGGGGGGGGGATCATAATGTGTATGAAGCAGACATCGGTGTCCAAGAGCAAAAGGCATGTTAAGGTTCTAAAAGAACAAACGTGTCACACGTTCTTTCAGAGGTAATACGATCTATACCGATACCCCGGGGAAGGGTCCTGTTGATCTGACCACCAGTGACGATGTACCAGTAGCTGGATATTCGGTGATGATGAGAACTAAAGACTTCTCTGTGGGTTTCGCCGCAACTGCCCGTGTTAATAAATGTGGAAAAATGCCGAAGCAAGTAAATGTCCGCGCTGGCCAACGCAGTAGAGTTTGCATAGGGTCTGTAGCTAGCCCTAAGACGGTGCACGCAGAAGACACTCGACCACTTAACGTACTGCAGAAAACAGGTAAGACGGAGACAATTACAATCATTTCGAGATGACGTTGATTGGAAAATGAGAAATTTGGCAGATTTGGTGTATCTTACTCGTAGCAAGCGACGCAGAGGATAGCCTCACGTAGTCTCGGAGCTAAGGGGCACAGTGTACAAATACCAGAGTAGAAAAATCCTCTGGCACAGCTAGAACGAATACAACCAACTAGAGCAAAGGTGACGTTTGGGTTAGAGCGCCATGGAAGATTGTATGTTTTGGTGGAGTCGCTGCTGACGGACAAACCGTACGGTATTTACCGATTCGACTCTTGTGGAGATTAATCAGACACCATAACCTGACGGATTTGAGGAGGACTTGGGACGGCGACCAAGGGGTCAACATCCAGACGACTTCCAAAGTAAATCCTTCGATGCTTCCACAAAATGGAATATACTGATGCTAGCCGACAAGCTGGAAGCTTATAAGACCTGTATTATATGGCTTCGAACAGAGCGGAAAGACCGATTGTCTCCAACGCAACTCAGACGTTTGACAGATAGAAGAGAGCCACGAAGATCAAAAACTACGACAGCAAGACTATTTATTTAGAACTGACAGTTGCAACCGTCGTCACACTACACGTTTGCTAAATGTGAGAAGTACCTTAGCTACTGTATCCAGACACAAAGTGCTCAGATGGTTGCAAAAGTGTTGGAGAAAAACAAACAAATATCATACTTGTTATTAGTAGCTGTCTGGAACAAGTCCGTACTTGGGGAGAAGATAGGCGGAACGGGGGGGGACAAAGAAACAACACAAACGCCACTGAGGTCGGCTGCTGGCCATATCAAAAAGTATCCCCAACCGAACGTGTTCAGCATCTTTCGGACCCTGACTCGAGAGTCGGCATGCAACAACCAAGGCCAAGTCCGAAGGGAAATTCTTCATTCTTTTGGACCGAGTCATCTGCCGGTTTCCACTCCTCTTCTTCCATCCACACAACCGTCACGTACATGCACGATGAATTCCATGTGTTAGCATGCGTAACACATTGCTCAATCAGCAAAGACCGGTGAGTGAAATAATGGCTTCAGTGATTCACTTGCTCTTCCTGCACTAGAAATCAGAAGCCGAACGCGCTTATTGTTCACACAGTTATCCTATTAGATATGAGCTAAATTGTGAAGGCACCAAAGTGGAATCGAAGTTCCAACAGTCTGAAAACGGTGCATTTGGGGATGACACTGGGCCTCAACGTAGCGAGGTCTTGTGTAGCTCCGTAATCCCCTCCTGTATTGGACGCAAGGCTGCTCATACAAGACAAGTTAAAGATTAAACTCAGTTTCGACATCATCCTCGTTTGAAACCAAGGGAGAATGTGATGTCCTTGTTCTCGAAAATACCGATGTGATGGGCCATAAGTTTCAGAGTGAGTGGCGTGAAACAAAGGAGTTGCATTTTTTCTGTTGGGGAGGAGCAATGTTGTTGTTTACCGGTATGCTGAAGCACTCCTCAGACCAAGTAGCCTGTTGTCGATGAGACGTCATCGTAGAAGCCACCTGTCATACGATGTAACCGCATACGTACCATTCTAAGGTGAATGAATAGTGAACGGTAAGGTGAAAGTACGGAAATAGGATAGAATCGTGTTTGTTATGAATTGTGGCACAAGAAGAATGAGCAATGCAAGCAAAGATTCATGAATTTATGATCGCAAGTTGTAGTACCCTGATTGGAGAAAAACAAATACAGGCACAACAGCTGGAGCATGCAAATAAGTGTCATCCTCTTGGAGAGATCGAGAGGTATTTGGCTGTGTTTAGCATTATCGAAACGTCTCTCTGGTCAAATCACCGACTACACTATGCCTGGTGTTCTGACGAATCAAGAGTGATTCTTATTCGTATCCGTTTGAAAATGGGTGTTGATATCGGCTCCTCGAGTACATGAAAGTGATCGGAGTGGGGGATGACTGGGTTCTGGTTTTGCTACCGAAGATCTTCAAAAGCAGAGAAAAGTTGGTTCCCAGGGTGATGAGAACCAGCGCAATCATAGAATGAGGCGTCGTGAGATACTGGTTGCTCGTCAGAGTGATTCCGCCATGATTGTGCGGCTAATCAAGGCATGTGTTTGAGTCAATGAAAAGGAGAATCAACCATCTAAGCAGCATAGGGTTAAACTGGAAAAGACGGTGGATCAGTTTGCGCAAGAGAATATTGCAATTCGCGTTTCTGAAAAATAGATTGTTCTGCTTCCTTTGCGGAAAAAGGGATAAGGGAAGTGAGAATGCACATGGCCTTCATGTGCTAAACTGTACAAGTTCTGCTCTATCCTTAAATCGGAGAAGTAGAACTTCTGCAACACTGAGGAATACGAGTGGTCCGCACTGCAGAAAGGATAGATTAACACATGGTAAATAGAAGTTGGCTTGAGGAACAGTATCGAATGATAAGAAAAACCACTTACAAACAGCATCGACCGCACACCCAAAACAAAGGGTGCACTAGTTGAAAAAATTCTGACCGCAGCCCAGTTCCGTTTCTGGGTTACACAACATAGCCTTAGGTATGGCAGCCCTCTTGGCATCAAAGATAAGCTTTACACGGTTAACGATAATCAGCTGAGGGCATACCGAAGTGTCTTCAGAGGCTGAGTAGAAGTATACCAAAAGTTAGATTCATGGATTTCAACGAGAAGTGGGATGAAGAATGGCTGCTATACTTTGTCGTTTCTAATCAACTATATGACGCAAATGAGTATTACTGATTCCATCCTCTCAGCTGCTGGAGTGGAAGTTATGCTAAGCAACCATCTGATAAAGTCAAGGTTCGAGGATGACAAAACTTCTCGAGAGTCAGAACAGAATTCCATACGTCATTTTCATAACGCAGAAATGGATCGATAAGCCAACAGATCCTAACATCAACGAACAACCATTAGTAATGTTCAATCAATTTGCATCTCAAAGCAGTGCTGTCAGCGACGGTAACCGATTAAACAGAATCATGCATGTAGATAACGAAAGGCTTGTGTGGCCGTTGCGAAGCCCTAATCAGCCATGGAACGAGGGGCCGTTTCACGTAGGACACAGTGCGGAAAATGTTACGATACGGATCAGGAGCACAGTTAGTGTGTGCCGAGGAACCTACTGCTCTTTGATGATCGAGGTCCGCGTTGCAATTCTCTCATTGCTAAAGCTCGATACTTGGCGTTTAACAACAGGTTTTCCGGACACTACACCGTAGTCTCTGTGGAATGCAAACCGCTTACGTTGGCTAATCTATGTCCTCCATAAGAATGCTGTGTTGTATGCCGTCGATGTATTTATTCGAGCGGAACTGCGACGTGGCCAGCCAGTGCAACCCTCCTGGCTAGGGACCTCGGTGTCAACCATGTGAGTGGTAAGATCTCGTATCCAATGTGGCTCAACAGCGTAAGCGAATGAGTTTTATTGTTTCAATTTTACTGTTTCCCCCTTCTGTCAACGCAGTTAACTCTGTTAAAATGTGGTATTAGCATCAATCGAATGACTGACATAAAAAACATCGTTGGCGGATTTGATGACCGTTTACAAACCGCACGTGTGTCCAATGATGCTGGAAAAGCCACAACTTTGGGTCTAGTCACACGTATTCATCCATTCAAAAGCGTTAGGCACTGAAGGCATGAGACTGTAAAGAAACAAGTGAGCACACCTACAAGCTTAGATTTACGGCAGAATGTGTGTGAGGGCAGCGCAGGCCACTTGTGATGACCCCGTAAGTGTGCGGACATTCGCCGTCACAAAACCTGTGAAGGGTCTAAAGTGCTGAAACGGCAAAGGAATTTGAACAGACCGATTGGAATGCACATCGGAGAACAGAGTGGGCTGGTAGCACAACGGAAAAGAAAGCGCTCGGCTGTTGCGTTGGTGAAATCAGCCAACGCAGCTGTAGGTTTTAGAGAAAATGTGGAACTTGACTGTAGTCAATACGACAGCGTACAATGCCAGCATACGGCAAAATTGCATGCGAATCAACGGCGTGCACGCAAAGGTGATCAATCCAATGCCAAATGATAGTGTGAATGGAATTCTGGTGACGGCGGAATGATAGTAAATGAAACAATGCACTAAAATTTTAAGGGACAGAAAACGGCTCCTTCGCATGTTCAACCCCATGGTGTTGGCCCGAAGCTAGTAGGCTGAAGTATGTTTGTACGATGCATCACAATTGTTGATTCCCGCGAACGAAGAAGAGCAAGGCGTGAGTCGACAAAAGGGAATTGGAGAATGTCAGAAAAGACTGACCTCAAATTTAGAAGCTACTTAACAAAAATAGTTAGATGGTAGAAGCGTGGATATCTCTCTTGTTGATCGACGTGGACCAACAAACTAACAAGAAGTAGTGAAGCTAGAGAGATGCAATTGCGAACGCATGACTAGTTGTGACACACCAGTTATCAGTTATAGCTGGGAGCCCTAATTAATGCTTCGAGTTTCCGCAAAATGTTTCGTGATTTATTTTACTGATCCCGTGGCAACCGGTACGGATAAAGTTACTTTGGAACGCGACACGGTACTAGCTTTCAAAAGAGTCCTAGATGGAAGTTTGTCGTTTTTCCAGGGATATCCAGCAGTCAGACACAAGTCGTATGGTGAATCCTAAGACTGGTTTCTGAAAAAAGAGATTGCTCATGCTCTTGCTTCTCTTCTACTGTGGCAGTAAGAAGAGTCAACCAAACATGGAAGCAATGACGGCCCTGTTGTGTGTGCCAGTAGAAGAAGCAGGAAAATCGCTAAGTGGAAGTCTGGAACCTGATCTGACCTAAACTGTCCAATCATCATGTAACCGTGAATTCCACTGCAACAATGCGAGCAGTAGAGCAGTTCCGTTCTATAACCAGAACGACTGCAGATATTATGATAAACGTCCAACAGCATACCAATTCAGAACAACCATGGCTCGTAACAACATGTAACTTAGCAGATGAGCATACTTCATTAGAGTATTTCGATGCATCGAGCAAACCAACTCATTGACATTAGAAGATCAGAAAAAAAGAACGCAGCGCTGTCAGGTTACGCACGGTCCAATGTACATGAACAATTGTTGATGTGAAAGAAATGCGATGAATCACAATGAATAACTAAAGTTAAACAGATAAGGTGCCGAAATTACGGACTACACAGTAACACAAGTATGAATATAAGGCGTAATCTTATACGGAGTATTACCTACGAAACTAAAAACATTATTACACAGGGAGGTAGGTGGTTGCAATTCGTCGTTAGCAACACGAAATAAAGGTTGCAGGCACCCATTAAGACATGTACAACAAAACAAAACAAGCAGAACAGTGAGAGCATGCCAAAGCGAAAATCAGCAACATCCGGTGCGTAGCCATCTGGATCTTGGTAGCTTACCGACTTCGAGTTGCCGTTTCAGTAGGGCCTTACAGCGATCCTTATAGTCAGTCTGAGTTGCAGCAAAGTATTTCATAACCTCATTGAAACGTCTGAACAAACCGATGAGCTGGACGGAATGCAACGATGAGATCCAAAGTAAAGTGGATAGTTACGATATATGGGGGTTGGACACCGGGGGGTTAATGGAGCAAAGCGAAATCCAATGAGCAGCATGGTGAAGCACGTAGTAGAGCTAGGCAGACACCGGTTATATTGCTGGCAAAACACAACATACCGATTTCCAGTTTTACTTTAATTCGAGATTTGCAAGAATCTCGATAAGCTATCTGGATTTTGCTGTACAGTGACATGACGTCCACGAATCGCGCAGTGATGGCAGAGTGCTAGAACGGCGGAATTGGTTCAAAATTGCAACAAGGCTTAAACACATGATTGCACACGGTCAGATTGATAGTAACGTAATAAAGGAAGTTAAGCACATCGAAACATAAGCTCTGAAAAATACAGCACTGAGCTTCTTGCTGATGAGGCAACCGTTCGTGTTCCGAGGTCGACTCGCTATACTAAGTTGTCCTAGCGAGTTAAGGACATCATATAGAACGAATTAAAAAGCAAGGGCAGAGTTATGTAATGTAGTCTCAGTCTATTAATGCAGAGGCAAGTATAAGCACATTAAGAAACAGAAAGAAAGCTGATGTGGTCATTTGGGGGCGACAAGGCCATCAGTTTATGACACAGGTAGTACTGCAGAAACACCGGATGGGTAAGCAGATATGAAGAAGCAAGCCTCCCACAGTTAGTCGTCTGTAGTTTAGAATTCGTATGGAAATGCTAATTCATCGTTAAATGTTAAATGGCACCCGAATGAAGTGGAAAGCCTTGCCAGAGGAGAACAGGGCCAAATTGAAAAACAAACGTACCTGAGTTCGACGGATTCTAACGGTTGCCAGCGAGGGGTCGACTGATTCAAGTTCATGAATGGCTTGTTCTTGTTCTGAAACACGGGAGAACGAGGATTATCATTAACGGGTCATAAGATGGTAAGTGAAACGTTACAACGTTAGATGGTCATCATGGTAAACAACGGCAATATATCAGTTATCCGTACTTATGCTTTGCTGCCGTACAGCCAAAATGGTCTAGAGCCGTGGTCCACAACCCCAGGGCCGCGGACCGGTACCGGTGATCAATTGGTACCAGGCCGACAAAGAAACATCAAATAATTTCCATTTTATCTACTGTGGTGTATTTCTCTCGGAATTGTGCGACTTTCTATGGATGAAAGGTGAACCTGAAGCTGAGCGGTTTCGAGCGGCAATATAAAACTTTTAGCAGACAATACCATCAATCCTACTTGAAATAAGGAGTTGTCGGGACAGGTGATTCCCACACACCATCCCTGCTCTGCATAGTTTGCACGACCGGCTCTCTAATAAGGCAATGAAACCTAAAAAATTGCTTCGCCATTTGAACAACAAGCACCCTGGATTAAAAAACAAACCGCTGGAGTATTTTGAAAGTAACAAACAGGAACATAAAGGACAGAAGAAACTTCTGAGGGTCGCCACATCAATAAAGAACGCACTGAGTGCATCATATTTGGTGGCTAACCGTATTGCTAAGGCTAAAAACCCATTCACTATAGGTGAAGAAATGATCTTGCTCTCCACTTAAGACAGTTGTCGTTAACTACTAGTAGAGACTGCTGTTAAAAAGATAGCACATGTGCCTTTGTCGGTTAACACTGTGACTAGGCGAGTTGAGGAAATGGCCGAAGGCATTGAGGCAATTATTGGAGAGGATTACTACATCACCGTAGTACGCACTTCAGGTTGACGAATCTACTGATATCGTCAACAAGGCAATACTACTGTTTTATGTGTGATATCATTATCAGTAGGATATGCATGGGGATTTGTTATGTGCACTATTTTTGTCTACCAACACCACAGGAGTAAAACTGTTCAAGGCATTGCATGGTAATATATCAGAATAACTAAAATGGTCCTTTTATGTCGGTATATGCAATGAGGAAGCTGCTGCCATGGCCGGACGACTGTCTGATTTAACTGCTCGGATTAAGGTTGCACCTGACGGTGAAGCTACGCATTGTATCATTCACAGGAAAATGCTAGCTAGCCGAAAGTCACCGGAAGTTAACAGCGTATTTGGTTGAAGTTATGAACCCCCATCAAAGCACACGCCCTTAACTCGCGCCTGTTTGAGCAGCTTTGTGAGGAGATGGACGCAGATGTCTTCTCTTGTACACAAAAAATAAGAGGGTTATCCAGAGGAAAATCTTTAACTAAAGTATTTGAATTACGAGAGCCATTGCAAAAGCTTCTCTCAGAAAAGAAGTCACCGCTGGCAGCACATTTCAGTGACAAGTTATGGGTTGAAAAAATGCCTTACCTGTGTGTCATATTCAGCCTACTCAATGAACTCAGTCTATCTCTTTAGATGAAAATGACAACTGTTTTCAAGTTGTCAGACAAAGTAGCTTCACTCAAAGCCAAACTGCGGTTGTGAGGACGACGCGTGCACAGAGGCATTTTGGATATATTTCGAACATTAGCGTGGATTTTAGACAAGATTGACCTGAGAATTCATTCTCCTAGTTGATGCATGATCACCTGTCTTTGCTCCTAAAAGAGTTCGAGCGCTACACCCACAAATGACCCATGAATTGGTAAAGAATGGATCCGCGACCCATTTGTCAACAAACCATGCGAATCTAGCATGTCTGTGCAAGGAGAACATCAACGGCTGACTGGCGGAACAACCTCCACGTGGTGCCAGTTGGGTGGCCCGGGGTAATCCAGTTCCAGCAAATGGTTCGGCAAAAGTGTTCCAGGACGTGGTGGGGTTTCGCCTAGCAAGCGATTGTCCCATAAAAAGCCACAAATGTCTGTTTAACAACACGGTGACGTGGCAAATATGACTCGCCACCAAATAAAGTCATCGCCTTCCGCCTTTCCGGAGGATCACACCCCATTTAAGAAAGTCAGCCATTTCGAAAATATTATTTGATTTCTTCTTATGTTGGCGAATTCACCGAACACACGCACAATGGCAGCATAACTAACAAATTCACTCAAGATGACTGCTCACCCACACGCTTACATATATACATAAAACATAACTCCAGTATGTACTGGTTACACAGTAACGCTTGTGACGATTACTGATCATACGCGTCTGTATGACTGTGAACATCATGTCCTTTTAGATGTGTCCTGCACTGTCGGGAATAAAACATTTATTTACTCATTTAACTGCTGGAGAGTGCAAAGGACCGCGATTTTAAAACTACGTTCGAGACAAGAGTTGCCGGTGGTCTGGATTAAATTCATGGCGGAGAACCCTCAGATAGCCACCACAGCAGTTAAATCTCTATTGCCATTTCAGATTTCCTATCTGTGTGAAGCAGGGTGTTCTGTAATGACAGCAATCAAAACAAAACAACGGAATAAACTGGATATAAGCAACACAATTCAGGAGTCACTGTCTCTTATTACCCCCAGACGGAAGTCTCGTTGCAGAGAAACAAGCTCATGGTTCTCACTAATTTAGCGTTCTAGTAACATGTTAAGTCACTTTATAGTCCTTTTTGGTGTAATTTTATATTATTTTAAGGCAAGTAATAATGCAATTAAATCAAAATTAGTAAATGAAAACAATCTAAAAGATCAACAAACAACGCCCCCCTCAGCGGGCCGTGGAAAAATTAGCGAAGGTTGACCGGTCCGCGGCGATAAAAAGGTTGGGGACCACTGGTCTAGGGGATAGAGAAGAATAAGCAGAAGAGGGGACCTCGTATAAAACTTAACACCCTAAGCAAACGCTCATGGTCAAGGCGCCTACATCTTGTCAATAACATACGCTCGTAAACAACTAGCTGTCATGCAGAGATAACGTAACGTCGGCGAGACACCTTACTTGCGGCTTTCACTACCCCGCATCATAATTAGCAGTACGCCGCAGATAACGCAACACTAAGCACACTTTCAAGAGGCAGTCCGATCAGGAGGAGACAACAGACACGCCACTGGTGTCGACTGCGAGCCGTCTTGTAACGCTTCGAGCCAAACACAAGGTGGGTCAGGTGGATTCCAGTCTGGAAGGCGAAACGGACCAACCGTATGGTTTGATCGGCAGTGATTTCATTTCCCGCTGCCACGTCAACGTTTGTCCACGTCGAGTCTTGTGCCACCTCACATTTGGCAAACAAGACAAGTTTCCCGGTGAGCGGTGACCGGGCATACATAGGACTGCTTAAACCAACGCAACTTACTCGGCACTATCTGTTGTTCTAACGAACTAGCCTGATTATCACTGTCTAGCACTCGCCTACACACATCACGCTGGTGGCACCCAACACCAGCAATGCCAAGTAAGCAACGATGAGCAAACACTTGAAGGTTTTAGGCGACCAAACAAATCGAATACCCCTGCACGGCGTTACGACACTGCGTCGTGCCGACAGGGTGAATGGGCTTCACGTGCGATGCGCGAAGAACCGACAAATACTGAACACAGTTCCGATGTGAGTGGATGGCACACACGCATGAGTGTTGACTAAGTGAACGAGGGCCGCGCCTTTGCGTGAAAAAAACGGTCAGATATGGCAAACCAGTCAAGCGGAACGTGCCCACACTGGTTGAGATCAGGTCGTCGAAAATGCGGGGATCATGGTTTATAAAAGCAGAACGTGTGATTGACCTGTAAATAGAACCATCCTTTTCATAGAATACACACCTACGGAGGCTTAACCTTTGATTTTCGCCATTGGCTTGGACGCCGGGCAGAGTGAGCCATGGGCAGCAGTATCGCACGCGAAGCATCACAACAGTGGAGACGGAGGCTTCGCAACGCACCTAAGAACGGCAGTAAGTTATGAGAAATGGCAAGCCCTAACAGTAAATACAGTTCGAAAAAGCACAGACCAAACTGATTGAGACTGGCTAAGAAATTGTTAATAAAAGTAGGTTCGATTTCAGAAGCAAGTGAAAACGTTCCTTTACGGGAGACGTTGACGCAGCAAATCGGTGAGTTCCGCTATGATACTGACGTCGTTATTGCGTTTTACTCCTGGTACCACAAATGTGAGGACATGTTGCACGTTGAATTGGCCGATGTCTCACACCATCATCAATATACGACAGTTAGGCGTGAGAAACAGACTTCAGCTAATGTCTCAGACGATAATAAAGTTCGCTTTATGCTATGGAAATTAGGTGCGGCCCAGCGTGACAAGTTCACGAAAAGGGTGCTGATTTGATGTTCTACGAGGTGGTGTCAATTTTATTGCAAATATTTTGGGAACAAGTGTCATTACTCAACATTTGATGCAGATGCTTCACAATGACCATGGAAGACGCTGAAGACTGAGTCAGCTACTCAAGCTGCGTTAATTGTTGATGTGAATGATCGAGGTTCCACAAGGTGACGGGTGATCAGTACAAGTGTCTTATCTGTTTGCGGTCTTCAAGCAATCAAAGATACCGATGTTCTAACAAGGATATTGAGCAGAATTGAGCGAAATTCCGATGTTACACTGTAGATATTCACTAACGAATGGCAACGAATGATGAGCTTGAAGCAGGATGCCGCCGTGCTTCAACGGTGATGCAGCTCGAATAGTCAAGATCGCATCTGTATGGGCAACCGGAATTTATTTTGGACATATATATATATATATATATATATATATATATATATATATATATAAATGGTTGGCGGTATCCGGTTTCGGATTTGCCTGTCACTGTGGCCAGGCACAGCACGTCTGCGCCTACAGTGGGACCATGGGTGGCTTGCGCTGCACCACCCACAGCTCCATCCACACACCCCATATCCAGTGTAAACCCGAAGCAATAAGACCGGGAGGCATGTGGATGGGAGCCAAGTTTCATCAACGGAGCCGGCCCACACTCCTTCAGAGGCAAACACAAGCACATTGTATTTGGGGAATCAAGTGCACACAAGGCGGTGGCTGGACCGTAGTCCGCTCCACACTAAGTGCATGGATCCACTCTTCGAGCTTAGCACGACCACAAGAACCGTGCACCCTGTCCCCTCCAGAAACGGCCAACTGTCTCCTAGAGTCAGTCTGGACAAGGTAGTGGGTAATATAGAGGTAGGCACCTTGTCAACATGCACATCAAGCGCAGCCAAACCGGGGATATCAGGCAACAGCCAATCACTTGAGAGAAAGATAACAAAGAAAATAAATTGAGTAATGCATAAGGGAACGTGAGCATACGAAATAAATTGTTAACAAAAGATCCGAGATAAGTTCACGAGGTCAGAAAGTATATTTTACGGAAATGCCACAAACATGAAAATGTTATCGAAATTAACTACCATTGGCTTAAGCGAGGTGTGCAAACTTATAGAAGAGCGTACAGGTGGACATTTATATGAGAAAGAAAAACATTGGGACAAAAGCAGTCCGGGGAAGGAAATTTTAAAAGGAATCAGTTCATGTGAGTTCAGAACATTGGAAATCTGTTTCAGCCTGCTGCTTTTGCACGGAATGGAAGGTTACTCGAAACTGTCCATTCAGAAATCACATGTGTAACCACAGAGAGAATCGCGTTGATTAGGGAGTCGATCTATCGTGAGGATACAAAAGAACATCAACTTTCGATGACAATCCGACGTCAGCGACGTTCAAAGTTGACCGTGTCAGTAGGCGCAAGTACACAGCGGTGAAAATTAATAGCAAAGAAGCCAAGCTGCAACTAAACACTGCGTCAGACATTATAATGATATCTTGTGATCCATGGTGCATGCTAGGGCGACCGCTAGTTGTCCACACCAGCCACACAACAGGAAGTGCATCTGGTGATGCCTTGCAATGTTATGTTAGTTTCTGTGAGCAGCTAATTCACACAACTGTTTCGTGACAGACCAACCCCGAGTAAATCTCATGGGACTTGATTGGGATGAATGGGCTGAACTTGCTTGACCAGTCGGTCAACAGTTTAAGCAACTTGTGCAGAGGCCAATGATGAACCCCGAGTTCCACAATCAACTCGCAGTACTGAAGCGTCGCCAGGAAACACTGTTCAAACCCGGTGTCGGAGGTTGCTAAATGGCCGGTGTGGAGCCGCAACACAATCCAGAGGCAAGACTAGTTTTCATACCATAACATCCAGTGCCGTGTGCAACTCAACCGATAGTAGAAGCTGAGCTAAGTCGGCTGCAGTCAGAAGGAATAATTGAACGCGTGCACTATTCATAATGGGCAGCACCCATCGTTGTACCGAAGAAAGGAAAGGGAAGCGTACGTATTTGCGCCGCTTTTCAATCGTTGTAAACTCCATGTTGGAGAGGCAAAAGTATCCATTACCTATACCTGAGGAGTTGTTCATAATGCTTAACGGTGTCAAATGGTCTGGGAAACTTGACCTACCTGATGCGTACCTACAAGTTCCAGTGGCCGGAGGTTGCAAAGAATTACACACAGTCAAGACAAACCATGGGATTTTGCAGTACAACAGATTAACCTTCAGAGTGAAAACCGCGCTCGCCATTTGCAACAAATCATGAATATGTTACTGAAGGATCATCCTGAAGTTGCACTATATTTGGATGATGTCTTGATAACAGCATCAGACATACAAAATTTGCTAGACAATCTGGAGAAAGCACTCTCATGTCTAGAAGTAGCTGGCTTCAGACTAAGGGGTAGAAGAGTGCAATTTCCTAATGGAAAGTGGCAAATTGCTGGGATTCGTCATTGACAAACATCCTCGGCACCCGGATCCCGCTGATATGGGGGGCAAACAGATGCCACTAACAAAAGATGCTGCCGAACTCCGTTCATTTCTCGATCTTGTCAGCCACAATAGAGCTTTTATGCCAAGTCTGCATCAGTTATCAGATACGTTGATCGAGCTGCTGATGAAAGAATGGCGATAGGAAAAGGATGTTAACAGTCCTTTGATAAAATAAGGGCAGCGATTAGTCCTGACCTAATCTTGACCAACTTCAACCCAAAGTTAAAGATTGTTATTGCTTCGGACGCTTCCAATTACGAGATAACTGCTGTCATTTTCTGTTTGTTTTTTTAAAAGAAAAAAGCCATTGCGCACGCAGCACAGTCGCTGAGAGAAGCGGAGAAAAAGTACAGCCAGACAGAGGAAGCTCTGGTGATCATTTGCGAAGTGAAACGGTTTCACATGGGGCTGTGTCCCGGCAAAGAAGAAAAAACTAAGTGTGCCGTTTGCGACCAGTCGAAATGACAAAAGTAAAACGTAAACTTTCGTTCACAGGAAGCCCAGTGACAATCCATTTTATGGTGAAGCAGTCCAAAAAGGGTAGTTAAAGTGGCGTGTGTTGCGGAGACCTCATGGTTTCACAAAGCTTCGCGTAGGACGCTTTTCGCATCCACCAACTGCCAGTCCTAGTGCCTAGGAACGGTTAGGCGATGCGTTATCGGTGAGGTTACCAGTTGGTAATTATCTCTATTCTAGTCAAGAGACACTGTTACCAAGTCGTCAATTGTGTGGTCCCCTTAGATACCGTTGTCAGGTCGTAATTAGGGCACGCTGATAAATGCCTTCGTTCCAGTACAAAATGACAATTATGCCGCTCTCCCAATAAAGAGGTAACTCGTGGCATAAACGCTAGGCTGTACAAACCGCGTTAGTGCTTCGCCTGAACAGTAAAAGCGCTTCGCTGAAAATCAGTGTCTTTTGCTCTCTCTCGGGGCCGCAATAAGGCGTGCGGGGTCCGTGTTAGTCTCGGTAGAGTGAGGAAGTAACGTTGGCCGACTGTCACTAGAGGCGCGTTAGATCAGCCACTGGCCCGTGCGGTACAGTCCATAAGGGTAAAATCGCTGTTTCGACTAAGGATGTTGTATCCACGAGAGAGCGTTACAACCTCGCGTAAACCGGAAATAAGCTGCAAGTTTTATTCTCGAAACAGAAGCATTAGGACGCATTGTCCCAAAATATGAAAAGTATGAGAAAAGGAAGACAGTTGGCAGATACATATATTTCGTATTGTCTTCTCAGTACCCAAAACAATAAGCAGTATGCCTATATGTACCTAACATTGGGTGTGACCAGACAAGCTTAAAGTGTAGAGTGAATAACGGAAAAAGACAAGGTAGAATCAGACCTTGTAAAACAGGATACCAACAGCGAAACATTGAAAATAGGTAAATAAACATGACGAACGAACGTTGCACTGCGGTCACATGTATTCAGAAAACAATCGTAGCTAATTGGACGAGTAAAATATTTAAAGAGTCGACGGAAACGACTGCACCTATCTCTAATGATAATGGGAAGTCACTCACGTTTCAGCTTCAGAAGAACTTGTCCGGAGGCTGCCTTGACTTGATTAGTAAGCTGCTCGATTCGTCGTTTTGTATCTGTAGATTGTGAAGAATGACATGGGTCAGTGGTCGCCGACGACCGTCCGTAAAACGTTCGTACAGAAACAAAACATCAACAATATTTGGAAGGAAAATCTCAGGGACGCTTTATGTATGGCGAAAAGCATGAAGTGCTTTCAAATGATGGTAATAAGATGTGCTAATAGACTAGATAGAATGCTCCAAAAGACAAGCGACAACGTTAATCGGAGTAGAGAAATCAGAGGTAAGCGGGTGATTCCGAGAACCAACATATTCTGATAGTGGTATGAAGTGAATGAAAGACAGCTGCAAACTAACTTTCATTCTGCTGAGGGGCTGATAATACTTCGCTGTAATTGACGCGCAGTTGGGAAACGTAACCTTCGATCTTCTCAACCTCTTCTCGGATCCATGCAATCTGTAAGCGGTGGGTTTAGGTATCACACAGCAGATATACGAGTGTACTTCTGTGAAAAATTGCTCCATCAAATCATCCGCCACAGGGGGTTGTACCTGACTTCCATCATATTGTTGCTGCTCGGGAATGGCGTTATGCTTAAATGGTCAAAGAAAATCTCCGCATGTTGAAAACACTCGTACCTGCCGAAGCTCTTCCAACAAATCTTTCGTCATTCTTATAGCAAGTAAACAATTTGGATCAAGTGATCACATCAATTGAAGAAAGTAAAGACTGAAAAGATTTTTAATACCAATTCAATATGGCTGAACTGTTCATTGAATAGTTGAGACAAAGTTGCACCCACAGAAATGTGACTATTGTCGATCAGAGCGATTGGTCATAAATAGACAACACTACACAAGCTAAACAAATGTAGTTGCCATAAAAAGTAATAAAACGATGGATAACGGAAGAGTGATAGGATTAGGCAGAGGGAACACAGATAGCAGACTTGCGACACAATAAGGGCGGTGACGTTTGAACGATGGTGTCTAAAAGTCCCCAGACCAGAACACCAGTGACTTGTACTGACGTTTCATTATACAAGAAAAATATTAAGAGTCAAGAGAAATCTCATTCAAAACCTTACTGTCATAGGCAAGCAATCAGAATCAACATCGAGTAGTCACAAATATCTGATTATCGTGCACAGATCAAGTGAGTTAGATGAGACAATCCCCGATTCAAATTCAGCGATTTCTTCCATCGAGCCATATACCATCCATAATGTGGTGAACGAAAATAGGCTTCTCGGTACGTGATGAATGGGTATTCGTAGTACGTACTCCAACCCGTAGAACCTATTTAGTCCAAGTTACTAAACAAACGAGCTGATCTGTATGCCACTGTTTAACACTGGCTTAAACAACTGGGCATTGCGATTATGATAGTGCCACCGAAAAAGGTGACATCGAAAGCAACGATTGTTAAAGAGTTGTTGTTGCATGTGATTCACGAACGCATGTGACCATGTATCAATGAAGTAAGGAAGAGCTACCTTCACAGTGATCCAGTAGGCACCTTATGATCAGTGGAAATTCAATGCGGGCGCCGGGGGCTTCGTAGATTCATATTGATATTTTCAACCTTCCCAGTATGAGACCTAACTTCAACAGCTGCGCACCATCGCTGATAAATCATCCCGTTACTCGCTTACAAGTCCCAGGGTCAACAGGTGGTCATGAATCCTGCAACAGTACTGCAGTCTGAAGCATTAAAGCAAATGCCAATGGATAAAAAATAACCGAGTTTATCCAAAAATGACTCGTGTCTATTAAATGAGAAATAGGGCGACACCATGAACACAAAGATGAGTTGTACAGGTTGGTACTATACAGTGGTGGGCAGGTCAGCTAGTATGTTTATTAAATAGAGCTTAGTAGGTCGTGCAAGTTGAAGGAAGTGCTACGAATATGTACTCATCACATACCCAGAAGCCGTGTTTTGTTCATCAGATGCTAAAGCCATCGCAACGAGACTGGACATTAGCGTGATGCGATGGTTTGCGTACGCCCGTGACCCATTAGGCTATGCTGGATTGCACTTTCCAAGTGCATTCAGAGCCACTTACACCGGACAGATCAATGGTTAGGAGTCAGACTAACTCCGTCTCACAAAACAATCCTCTTCGGAGGTTAGGGATAGGTGGATGGCCCTCTTCCTATAAAACCCTGCCATAGGAGACAACAGGTCTACGGGCTATAAGCTCACAGAGCGATTGGCGTAGAGCACGAGCGCCACGCATGGTCTGTGACGGTGGGAGGGCACTTCCTGATGCTCAACGGTTTGTTACTGCCCGCCTCAAGCGAGGGAGCCCTGGTCAAATTGGTGCGAACCCGCCTACTCCCACCTGCGGCTGACCGCGGTTGCAGGTGCGTATTGTAAAACGGTCGCAAAACGTAGGTGAATTGTTCTAAATCTTCAAAGGCTGTGTGATAAGCGTCGAGCGGATCCCAATGGGTCTTGCAATTATAACCCCGAGCTGGACTTGCTCCCCACTGCCCTGTTGGTCAGGCTATTGATCCAAAGGCTTCGGGTGAATTCCCATAAGCGAACTCCTAACTCCCCCACTGCCTTGTGCGTCAGGTTGTTGAGTCAAAAGTTAGAGGCAGGGCACAACGAACAAAACCTCTCCCTCGGAATGAGCATCCAGAGAGTATCACCTTCGCCCTAGAACAAGTCGACAATTCTCCCTCTTCATCTTACTTTTCTTACCCCTATCAACTCTTCTTCCCCGTCTATGAAGCAAGAATCTGCCAGTGACCTCACTGCCTATGCTATCGATACTCGTAACTCGTCCATCAAACCACGAGTCTCATTTCACATTAGTTTGTTGAACGTCCGCACTCTGGAACAGATCGGTCAACAGGCATCAGACTCACCCTTCACTCCCTTGGTATTTATGTGTGCATACAAGAAAGAGCGTTGTTATGAATCTTCGACTCCCTGGTTCTAAACCTGACAACAATGACTTCATTCTTCGCGTCTCTGGTGATACAGAGTCAATGGGTCAAGGTATTTGCGGTGTTGGTATCGCCCTCAGCAGACATACCGAAGGTAATCCACTCGACTGGCTACCAGTGAACAGCCGCATGTGTGCGGTCCGACATCGAACCTCGATCCATCCATATCATTATACACGTTAGCTAGAGGTGGGAAACACCTCAGCTATTGTGCCGCAATACATAAAGGAAAAGGAAATAAAATACAAGAGTTGCATGCCAGCTGAGCTATCAGCAACGGATAGGCATCGTTCCGGTAAGCTTCCAGCCAGCTACTAGGCAAAAGGAAAAAAAATTGTTTTACCCTACGAAATGAGATCGTAGATGGAGGGGAAGGCTAAAAAGGATGGGGAGGGACAAAGAAACTCACAGCACAAACGCCACTGAGGTCGGCTTCTTGCCATGTCAGCAAGTGTATCCAGTCAAACGTGTTCATCGTCTTTTGGACCCCAACCAGGGAGCCGTGACGCTCCAACCGAGGCTAGCTCCGAAGTGAGGGCCTTCATTCCTCTTGACCAAGTCGTCATCACTTGGCCACTCCTCCTCTTCTTCCATCCACATCCCCGGTGAGCAAACAACGCACGTCGTGCAAGTCGGTGGGTTGGCATGCGCAACACGTGGCCCAGCCATCGGTGACTGGTGCGTGAAATGACGGTGCTGAGCGGTTCAGTTCCTTTTTCTGTGCTGTAAACAAGGCGTCGAACACGCTCGTCACTCACGCGGTGTTCCCACCAGATGTGAGCCAAACTGCGAAGGCACCGATGGTCGAACGTAACTAGCCTCTTTATGTCCGCCGATCTTAGGGGCCAGGTTTCGCAACCGTACCGAATCTCGATTGGGATTAACAAACACCATATGAAGACAAGGTGTCTTTTCATCGCCTCCGTTCCTACTGACTGCCGTTCGGAGGGTACCAAAGATGAATTCTACTACCATTTGTCATCTCTACTCCGTTCGGTGAAGAATACTGACATCATGATTGTTGTTGGTGAGTTGTATGCCCAAGTGGATGGTCTTTCAGACTTTGAACAGCACCTTGAATACCAATTCGGAGTCGATACACGCCGAACAGACAATGGTGATCGATTCCTGCAACTATGCGCCGACCACACAACAGCACTGCTTTCATGCACAAACGTTCACACCACATCACCTCCTGCCCACCGAATTCCTCGATGACCTGAACCTAAACTGCCATCAGCTACAGGTGGCGCAAAACAGCCCAGGACTGTCGGTCAATTTGAAGCACAGGCCTGAATTCTAACCATGCTCTAGTGCGCGCGCACCAGGCGCTCACTCTTCCCACTTCAAAGAAGCGTCTATTTCCTAACCTTGCCTGTAACTTGAACACGCAGTCTGTAGTTCAACAATATCATAACGAACTGACCCACTATTGTCCGTGATGAATGAGGTTGGTGAGCCGAACGCTGACTGGTATCGTTTCAAATGTGCCATGAAGAATGCCTTTGATGCTGACCGTGCACCCGTCGTAACTGTGAATGGGTCTCTGAAGCAACCATCAGTTTAATCGAAGCGCGTAAACAGATTCCGATGGGCAATGGATATCAGCGAGTCCATACTACCCTGAAACGACGTCTGAGAAGGAGTCTTTGAGCTGACCGGGAACGTTGATGAATTGCAAAGGTCCGTGAGATGGAAAATTCAGCGCTATCGGAAACAGCCGGGTGCTAGTACAGCTCATCCGGAAAATGGATCCGAGAAAGCTATCAGTTAGCGAGACAATAGCTGAGAAAGATAGGCTGTCGATCCATTCTCAGCGTCATCGACTAGTCCGTCAGGCGGAGCATTTTGAGAAGCAGATCAGCAGACATGCTGCGACACTGTCGCTTGCCGAATCACCTCAACCGACGTGGGGAGTAGATGTCACAACTCCAACTTTAGAAGGGATTCGACATGAGCTCACAGTGTTAAAACGATACACTGTTCTGGGACCCGACGACCTTCCTCAACTTCGCTGAAAGATGCGGTGGCTCATAGTTGACTAGACTTGCATCTCTGTTTAGCACGATATAAGACACTGAAAGTGTCTTCAGACTAGCGACCATCAACTGTCGTGCCCATTTTCAAGAAGGGTCAATGTACTTGGTGCGAAAATCACCGAGGCATTAGTCTTACTTCCATTGCCTCGAAGCATCTCACGGGTGTCATTCTTCGACAACTGACTGATCCCCGTGAGGACCGAATCACTGAAAACCGAGCTGGCATCCGCCCTGGCCGTGGTCGCATCCACCACATATTTACTCTTCGCCAAGTCTTAGAGCGAAGAGACACATATAGACGACAGAGTACGGTGGTTTACCCTAACTTGAAAACCGCTTTCGACTATGCTGATCGCACCAGCTTGTGGCATGGCCTATCCATGAAGGGCGTGCCAGCTAAACACCTTTCCATTATGAAGCCCCTCTAGTGACACCCGAGGTCGTGTAAGGGTCTATGGGAAAATCTTTCCTGAGTTCCACACGACAAGTGGGGTTCACCATGGTTGTCCTATATCACCTTTCTCCTGCTCCTTTGTGATCGAAATGATCATGAGTGATTCCGTTCTTTCAGACTCCACCGGAGTAGAAGTTCTGCCAAGCGACCGACTGACAAACCTAGAATATGCGTACGACATAGTTCTCCTTGGGTCTGATGCTTTGGCTACGCAAACACTGCTGCACAGACTTGTGCGAAGCGCTGCACACTTCGGCATGTACTTTGCACCTTTAAA